ACTGTAGGAATGCCATTCCTAAACATATMCAGCCCTCTCAAACTCATTACATAGAGGGTACATTGAAGGAAGCATCTATCTCCTGAATTGCAAGAAGAAAAAGTTCTACCAAAAAAAAGGTCATTGTTTTTCCTCAGCTAGCTAAAATCATAAAATTGCTAGGTTTTCCACTATTCCCTCCCAATGTGTTCAAATATGAACAGTAGGGCACACAGTTGAAAAATCAGGGCCCACATGTTTAACAACAGCAAAAACTTGTTGATAATTGCAAAATAGCTAACAAATTACCCACATCTTAACAATGATCTTTTTCACACAGGAGACTTAAATATTTCCAATCTGTAGGAAAATTTCCATAATGCAAACCGCCAATATTCGCAAAATTCGCTTTATTAAATTAGCAATGAACTAGTAGATGATTAATGGACAACTACACAGAACATAACAAAACAGAAACACAGAACCAGAACAAAGTATTTTTAGATGTCATAGCATATGAGTAAAGAGTTGATCCCCTGTTTAATATCCAGACCAATATTATTCACATGGACCAAGTCGTGAACTCCTCATTTTACGCTACTCAGAGATCGCCAATGCAGATGGCAAATACATGCAACTGGATCACTGTCAAAACTGAAGACAAAGGAAGGCAAAAATGAATACTACAGCAGTTTTAAATTGCCTTAGGAATTCCCAGAGAAGCTGCATTAAAATTCAACAAAGTTAATAACCCACAATTCCCTTCAGAACATACCTAAACAGTTGTCAGCTCTTGCTGTCTCCAAAGCCTATGCAGTGGATTTGTCCCCACAGTTGTGTTTAAAACAGCAGGACAGAATGAGAACAACAGATTAGTTCCTTGCAATTATAAATGTTATCCTTTCAGAGATGCTAACTTCAAAAATGGTATACTGGGAAAAAGTAACAGAATTGTAGAACTTCAGTAAGACATAATTATAGCCCACATTGTGCGTTAAATGCTTATACTTAAAAAAAAATAAAAAGCTASAGATTCTGGCTAAAAGAAACTGTCTACCCAAAAATCCACTGAAACCACCAACAGATCAGGCAAACAAGCTGCAGTATATCTTCAGCTTTACAAAACCCACTATTTTCCTTTGGAAGTTTCCCAGCCTGACACTGATATTTTTCTGATCTCCTGACTGTTTTCACTATTGCATACACTTTCCCCACAGTACTTCCAAATCCTCCTCAACTCAAACATTTTATGAGTTCCTACTCCCACACACACAAAAAAGAAAATTATAAATCCTTACATTCATTTTCTCAAGTGAAAATAAGCACTAACCAATCCATCACACATGACTTTTGACCCATTTTCTTCAAGGAATGACAATTCATTAACTATGTCTATACTAGTGAAACATAAACAGATTTTTTTAACTCAGCCATACACAAATTTCACATTACCTTGCTGCAAGAATAGTCAGGTTCTTTATATTACAGATTTAGGTAGTCTGTCTGATAATAGCATTAGGATGCTGCTGGTAGCCAAACAATATATGCTACTGACCCAACCATATCAGTAGCATCAACTCAGGCTTTTCAATGTTTGTTTTACTCTGATGCCACTTCAAGTTCATGAAATAAAAACAAACTGGCATCAAACATGTTTTGGCAACCATATTCAAAAGACAATACAAATGCAGTCCACAAATCCTACAGTCCTAAGACTTATACACTCTTTTAAATACTCCAAGTCATACTACCATGCATCTATTGCTAACAAAAAAAACAAAAAACCAAACCAAAACAAAAAACAACCAAACAAAAAAATCAACCTCTGATAATTCTCCTACTCCTTGTAAAAAATTGGTGAGCTAAGCTCTATGTAAACATGACAGCCAAATCCAGGAACAAAGACACATGCAGTTGACCTAGAATTTAGGGCCATGCTTGCCTTTAATATACAAAAACCCAGCAGGACAAAAGGAAATAGGATGTTGGAATAAACTGGTAAAATCCACTTTTGTGTAGGCTCACCATAAAGCATCTCTATTTGATAAGGAACATAAACCTGATACACAGAGGGGTTTTTGGTTGTTCTTTCCCTCTCTCACTAACAAAGACTATTTCATAAAGATAAATTACCTTCTTGGTCTGACCTAGAAAACAATGTAATAACAACCCTTAACTTGCTCTAGAACTACCAACATGCATTGGTGGTATCACAGACATTCTCGATCTTGTGGATTTGACAACAGAAAGAAAACACTCTAAGAGAAGAAAAGGTACTTTTTCTTTGCTGCTTAGGAGACATTGTCAGTCTGCTTTTAAAATTTTAGTGCATATTTTTAAATTAAGGTTCTTATATTCAGAGTGAGACTGGCTCACATTTGGGATTGACTTGCTCAGAAAGCAGAATAAAACTCAGCTAAGGTCAGATAAAAGTCCTTTACTCCTTATTTAACCTGTTATTTAGAGTAGCTAGAAGAATTGATTACAATAGAAGGAAATTCATACCAACAAAATGGAGGCATTCAAGGGTAAAACTTTTTATTTACTTTACAAACCCACTGAAGAATCATACTCCACCAYAGCCACTTACCCACATTTAGTTACCTTTCCCTAAAGCCTTTCATAAAAAGAATCACAGCTCAGTTTGGAAGGGRCTTCYRGAGATSACATGGTCCAATCTTTTGTGGGAATGGGAGCCTAAATGAGATCAACTAGCACCCTGTCCAAATGCATCTCGAAAACCTCCAGTCATGGGAACTCTGCCGCATCTTTGGAGAGGCTGCAGTGATCGATTGTTGTTGGTGTGAGAAATTTTTTCTTATATCAAGATCAAACCCTTCCCAGTKCAACTGCACCCCTTGCCCCTTGTCTTCCTCATRYAGCTCCTTGTGAAGAGARATCCTCCATTCTCTTTGTAKCTGCCCTTTCCAACACAGATGCTCCCCTTTCCTACACAAGCACTCATGTTCAAACAGCTGTAGGCTAGACCAACCTCCCCTCCACAAAGGAAAAAATTATGATAAGGGCAGCAAGTAAAACTGCCTGGGGTTCAGCTAGAGGATACATGGGTACAATGGTGAACAGGACTGCTGTTTGGAGGGACTGTGGCAAGCTGGAGGAATGGGCCTCATGGAAATCAGACACAGTACCACGCAACAATTAAGGGCTGGGCAGCAGCTCTGCAGAAAAAGGTCTGGAGTGTCTGGTGGATGAGTCAGTAGTGTGCCTCTGCAGCAATGAAGGTTAAAGAATCAAGTATATAACTTGGATACAAATTACTGTGTACAAAGAAAGTCTAAATTTCTTCAAGAAGTTACTGAGGGAAAAGCAAGGCAGTGAAGGTGATAGCAAACATTGAAAACAGATCTGAAAGATAATGCTGACAGACTGTAWGTTTCCTTACAAAATTGCTTAAAAGACACATCTGCTCCCTTATTATGATGTAATATCAAAGAAAAATACGTTAAATGCTGCTTAGTATCATTCTTTGCAACATTTTCCTTTTTCTGTACCAATGACACAAATTTCAGTCCAAGAATACCATTACATTGACACTGATTTCTAAAAGCTATCAAACTGGCCTTCATAAGCTGAAGAGTTTCCTTAACCAGAATACACATCCTGAATCATTTCTCCATAACAAAATAATTTAGAATCCTATATAATTGTCTCCAATGATCCTAAGAATTTGGTTCAAGTTCTTCAAGCAAAGATTATCACCCCTGCCATATAGGTCTACCTGTCTACCTGACACACTGGAAAACACATAGGCAATATTTTGTCTATTTTRGTCTACCACTGATAAAAGAAACATCATAAGCACAATCATATCCAATAAAACAGGTGAGAAAAGAATAAATTAACAATCAAGAACCCAAGGCCAATTTTCATTAAGAAATTATTAGCTCAGTTGAAAGAAACTAAACCTGCTCAAAGGGATGAAAAATATACCCRAAGTGAATGGGAAGCATCCTAAGTATCATTTGAAATGATAAAGATTTCTACTCTTATCAGGAGTAGAAATATCCACAGTAGTTCCAAACAGTCTAAACTGAACCAGCAGGAGCTGCTCACAGCATCCTAGAGCTTGCTGGAGACTGGGACTGWCTGACTCCCCTCAGCCCACACTGAGGTCTCTGTGATGCCATAACCATGCTGTTAAGCCAGATCACACAGAGTTAGTTCAGATAYCTCTGAAACACACTGCCAGCTCTGGTTAATCATTACAGGCCATGCCTACTGAATGACAGACAAGATCTTCACAACACAGCTCCTTATGGGTTCACCAAATGATTCCTGTATTTCCTGTCAGACACCACACTGCATATCCTGCATAGTCCTGAACTCATGCATTCTTGTGTGCTTATTTAACAGAGCCCCAAGATAATCTCTCCACAACTGTATTTGAACTGCCAACCTKCATTCGGATCAAATAATACAAGACATCTAAAAGCTCACTTGAAAAAACATCTACAAAGGAAATGTTCATGTTAAACACAGCTGTCATACAAAAACTCTGCAAGTAACACTGTATTCAGCATTATATGCCAGCACTTGCATATTGCAGGAATTTGGAAGGCTTAGTCATATGAATAATTCTTTACAATTCATTAAAAATACAAGTAAGGTTCTGAAAGTTGACTCCYATTTAAGATATCCCAACATAATGGCACAAAGAGTAGTAAAATATTTAAGAATATACATTTCTAGGTTTCACTTCTTTCTAAAATACTTATTAAAATACTTCATTACTCTTCYAAACAATAAAACATTTAGCAAATAAGCCTATCATAAAATGGGCTTTTCTTAAAGTAAATTCAGTGTTTAACAGGAATTAGGGACAGCAACCTTTCCAGAATTTCTAACAATAAATAACTGCAAAAGCAGGGTTTTCTTAAAAAATATATTTTATGAAGGTAAACAAATCAATCTGACATATTAAATTTTGCTATACTTCACTGAAATGTACAAATGCTGGAAATAAACACAATAGGAATTAAAGGGGCAAACAGAATGCTTACTTTCTCGAAATGCTTTACAGTAGCCAAGGAATGACAACAAGAAGAACAGGGCACACAGTAGGTCTGCTCTGCCAACAATCCCAGCAACCTTAAAAAGATAAAGAAAAAAGTTTCAAATTATCAGATTATTATTCTTAGAAAACCTGAAGTAAAGGTAGTCATACAAAGCGAAATATATAACAGAATGTAACTGCATCACATTTTTTTCATTAACTTGGTTCACTGTATTAGTTATATGCAGTTTTTTAAGATGCATCCTAATTTTTATTAGGWATTGCTTAGTATCAACTACATAAATTGGTTTATGAAAATTCTAGTTTATGAGATTTTTTTAAAGAAATGGAGGAGGACTTCACTGAATAAAATTTAGACTCTACACAATTCCATCTGTTTTTTGGATCAGATTGCATTTCAGTAGAACACTTGGAAAACATGAAAATATAAAAGAGTTTGGGTTGTAAGTAAYCTTAAATAACATCTYGTTCCAACYCCCATCTTTCACTAGACCAGGTTTCTCAGAGCTCCATCCAACCTGGACTTGAATTCTTCCAGGGTCGGGGCAGCTACGACTTCTCTGGGCAACCTGTGCCAGAGCCTCACCAGCTGCACAGTAAAGAATTTCCTCCTAGCATCTAATCTAAATCTACTCTCTTTCAATTTGAAGCCATTACATGGCTTTGAAGCCAAACATCCTGAACCACAACTAAATTGGCAGCTCTGCTGAAACACAAATCAAGACTGTTCACTTTCAGAAGACAAGCCAGCCTTCAAATTGCAATCTGAACACTCAGAATGGACAAATAGCTTCCAGCTTAGAGATTTAGGGGAAAAAAGGAAAAAAAAAAAAAAAACCAAACTAACCCCTCTGGCAGTTTTTTGTGTTATATTAATTGATTGCATTGCATTAGAACTAACTCCAACTGCCTCTTGAACAGAAGCTGTACTAATGCAAAAGAAGCCCATCCTGGGACTCTGTGCTCCAGAACTGTGCCAAGCTATTTAAATCAAGTGCAATCTCAGGGCTATCTGCAAGCTTTGGTTCAAGCCCCAAACAATAACTTGCTGAGATAGAGCAAGACATTTTTGGATCTTTAATTCTCAATTACACAAGCGTCAGGATACACCACAAACGTTTTGTGAAAGTCATAACATGGAGCTGGCAGGGGACTGTATAGGCCTTGATGCTGGAACTTCATTAGAACATATTTCCAGAGCAAGGATTGTGGAAATACCCCCTATTTGTCAGTCTAGCTCTGCTTCCTGGAGTGCTGAGTTCCATGTTTTCAGGACATGTACAGAAGCAGRGCAGAGCAGCAACAGGTTTTCTTTTTATATTCACTTTTTGTGATCATATTTCAGGGACAAAAGCAGAAACTTCAGTTCTTGTACAGTATACCAGTTATCCCATTTTGCATGAAACAGAAAGAGGAAAGCAAAAAGGAAAAGGGCATTTTTTGTGTCAGGGTAACATGATGGAGCAACTATTTCTAAATAACATCAGAGAAACAGAAGTGTATAGGCATGAGAGTATGACTGATTTCACTGCAGAGACTCTCTTTCACTTTTACCCYCAGCTTCACTTGAGCAGCATAAAAGAAGAAACTGTTGGACTCCTAAATTCAGTTCAGAAGAACTCCTTGATTTATCTAAAGCTGTGCACCTAASTTCTCTGCTTCTTTTTCTATCATACAAAGGAATTACGAGAATTAACTCAAYAGCTGTGGAGTGCTTTGAAAGGTGAAAATAATGAAGTGTCATTCTGCTTCAGGAGCCGCTCTCGCTAATGAGATAAAAGTTAAGGTGAGCTGACACAATTTCAAATATAAATGTCCACTTGTTACAATGAAGAGATARAGGGGCTAGTAATGCACATGGCCTCAGATGACTCCAGCAGCACATTGTTACCTAGAATGCAAGGTAAGGCAGACAGATTGTGGTAACAAGGCAAACAAAGGAAGAAAACCAAACCAGTTTTAATTTAGTATTTGATTCATACTTATGTCCATGAYTCATTTAGCACTTCATCATTGAAGTGTTACAAAGAATAGGCCTTTTTTGGATCAGAGAACTACAGCACAAGWGTGTTTACCTGTAGGCAGAAAAATTACAGTGTTTTCCTTACRTAGGTACTGCAAGCATTATACCTTTCAAGATCTGTTTTACATGACAGTTTGTTTTGCTGTATATACCAAAACCCAAAGCAGCAAACAGACAGATTCTTCACAATTTWATGTCAAAATATGCCATCTCATTTCAAAAGCAGGATGTCATGATACTTAAAACTCACAGGTTTAAAATCGTGAGGAATGCTTTTTAAGAGATGCTGCCAGACACAGACTCATCCTAGAACTGTAGCAATATAATGACTGCTTCACTTGCAGCAAGATTTATTATTCACCATGTAAATGATTAGAGGCTTTTGTTCATTCCTGGATCTTAGAAGAGACCTGATATATAAGCATGCTACTTTTTCTCCCTCCTTTTCCAACATTTGCCTGAAGCATAAGCAAGTCTTCAAACTTCAAACATGTGAGCAGACCACATCACCTGTAATTTATCCRACATGACAAAGAGCTTATTCATATTTTCATGCTGATTTAAATGTATTTTTAGAGACAAATGGAATGAAGAATAAACTTATGGGTATTGATAAAGGAGTCAATAGCTAGGACTCCAGCGAGATTTCCCTTTACATGTCAGAACATCAAAAGCACTGAAGACTTGTTTTACTTTACTCTGACATCTAAAACTGGTTTTGCAGAACAAATATGAGGGGCCCTTCTRACACAGTGCACTTCTCACAAAGAAGTTATTGTGCAGGCGAGCAAACACGAGAGAATGACTGTCAAGATATTTTAGCCACACTGCCAGAAAAGGTGCCAAATTACCAATGCATAACTTTGCACCAACTTTAGGCCTTCAATATGTGCAAGGTCTCCAGTCAGCTGAGAGCACAGCTTTCAATAACGTTTTCCCCCCTCAGCTCTGTGCGAAGCAAATGCAAGAAGCCAAAACCATGGCATATTGTGAACAAATGAAAAATCAGTGCCATGTATGTAGAATAAGGTGCACTGAGGATTCACTGTTCATTGCTAGGACAAAATCAACATTAAAGCTAGTACTTTTTCTGTAGCTCAGACCTTTTAATACCTTTCTGTAGCTCAGACCTTCCAAACTCTAACAAAAAAACAAATTTAAATATTTCCACATTGTGATAATTTTATATTTCATTTATTCATTATCACAAGATCAAGAAATCAGTGACCACATCCAGCAATCCTGCTGGCACAAGGCCATGAGATTTTCTTAACTWAAAGTCCTAAAGAGCTTTTTAAGAACACCATTTTCTCTTCACCAGATTTCAACACAAGGACTTTAAATTTTGGTCAGATATTTCAACTAATTGCTGTACATATGCCACGTTTCTATTCTGCATCGTTACATGTCTGCTTTTGCCTGCACTACTAAAGTGCCCATTACTGTTAAATTTGTGTTMCCCATGTACATAATTACAGACTGTGTTTAGAAAAAATTCCTTTAATCTTCTTCGTATTAAAAATATAAACCCATGGAGTTTGATCTCTCATGAAACAGGATGATTTCCAGTTCTTTAATCACTTTCATGACTCTTCTGAGCACTCTCCATTTTTCCTACTSTTGTCCTTGCAGAATGGATGCAGAACTGGATTCAGTATTCTAACAGTAACATACAAAGTTCATATAGTGCCTTTACTCCAATTTTCTCTCTCTTTTGCTTATCAATGCAAATGGAAATGAAAAGTAATTAGGGAAACTCAGTACTGTAGTGCTATCCTCCTTTCATTATTGTACTTAAATGATTTATCTTCCTTAAAAAGGTCTAGCTTGGTGGAATTACAAGCCTTGGAAGTACTAACCATAATATTTGATTGTTCTATTAAGACATGTGCCAAGAGAAGYGCTAAGAATATATAAAAGCAATGTGTAGACCATAAGGCTATGCCAGAATTAATTTGTCAAGGTGGTCAAGAACTCCTAAAACAAAACTCTGTGGAGATAATTATTCAGTACTTACACACTCKGTGTGCACTGGATGTACAGCAAAGAGCAAAGCAGCAAGAAGAGAGGACTTTGGAGCCAGGTTTATCCGTCTTCCTTTGTTACTGAATTGCAGTCCACCCAATAATATGGAGAACACATCAACCATCAACACGGAGATGGTACAATGCAGTATTATATTGATGACATGGAAACCAACTGGGTAGAAGCCTCCAGCAAAAAGGTAATTAATTCTATACAGAAACAAAAAAAAATAAGGGCTAGGAATTACAACAATGGCTAGAAATACATGGATAGAAAAACTAAACAACCCCATAGCAAGACTGTATCAGACGTATGCACACCAAGACAAAGGTGACACATTCCAGTGCACATGGTGTTCCATTCGGCCACCACAAACATGTAGAAACAATGTCCCAGTCTTTATAACAAAGAATTAAMATGGCTTATCAGATGGATACAATATCTATCCCCCCAAGACATACCTTTTGTTAATGATACCTGCAAGTACTTAGAACTGGGTTTTGGTCAACAATGTAACTTCAGTGTTGCAACACAGGAATGTCCTGGGGATAAACTACCCAGCAGACTGGGGAATACTCCTGGGTTTAAGTGCAGCCAACTCGATGGAATTATGTTAATTAAATCCACACAGTGAGGAAACCAATATGTACTGTGACGATGATTTCCACTGACATACTATYTGAAAGAGGTCCTAGCATTTGGACTGACAATGTAGAAACCATCAGTATCCATCCAGAAAGCAGTCAGAAGCACATCTTAGTAACTGATTCGTGAGACTGGTTAGAGAGACATTTCACACAAGTATTAGAATGAGTAGGAAGTGTAAGAGAAAATTCAGACTAAACTCCTATTCAAGATAAGAACGCTGCAGTAAAACGGATGCTGAGAAGAAAAGGAGGAAATATCTTAATATTATCTATATACTTTTATCAGTAGGTAAGATACACAGGAAGTTAGTTTGAATAGGAGATTTTAAATAGTTCATTTGGTAAATTTGCATCTTGTATAAATGAAATCTATTTAAAAACTTAACCTATTATAAATATGGTACACATAAAAGTTGGAGCTTAGGGAAATCAAGGAAACCCATTTCTTACTTGTGAAAACAGCATTTTATGGACCATCTCCACAGGCTCATCTATATTTTCAGATATAGTAATGATTGCATCCCAGTTCACTCTTTAAACAAACCAGAATGTTATTAGAGATGGAATATACCACAGAGACCTTGAAAAAAAATGAAAGCATGTGCTGTGTAATGTACTGAAAGCTTTAATAGGTTCAGGATTCTGACATGTTCTATTCAGTTGCATATTTTTCTTGAGGAAAATGAAGTCCACAGACAAACCCACAGTACTAGGTACTTACAACACTGACACTATGCTAAAGAGCCAAAGTTTTTGCTTGATTGTGAGGACTAAGAGTGGAAATACTTCTGCATATACCTAGTCCTTGGCTTTGAACAGACAGCTGCAGAATGACCACCAAATCTCCCTAAACACCACTGAGTTACATGGGGAARATGAAGTTAAGACTGAGTCCTCAAAGATTCTTTGCATTACACTGCCCAATTTCTACATGGTTTACTGTTTGCACAGATCTTCGTGCAAAAATTGTGAGCKAAGCATTTATAATAGTAATCTTCTTAAACATTCAATTATTTGATAAAACAAGCAAGCTATATATATAGAGGCAGATATTTTACTAACATTTTCAGACTCAAACACTTAGAATACTGGRGGGAAGAGGTGGGAAGACTATCCAGCAAGCTGATGGAAAAAGGACACGGTATCTTCATGCTATTTATAAAATAAACCATTTGCCAGGTCAGCAGGAAAGCAGAGAACAAAAACTACAATAGCAGTGTAAGTGGCAGCATGGCTAAGTGAAGGCAACATACACCTCCCAGTTCTTTGATGATGTGACATACTAAACCACACTGCCCCTAGCACCAGGTACAGAAGAGCATTAAGGTGAAATCTCTGAAAAGTAGAYAGAAATACAGAATGTCAAAATAATRTACATTTTGGGAAAGAAACCACTGGAAAATTAAAACTCAATTTGAGATTAAGGCAGTGAACTCAAAAATCATATCCAGGAAAGGTATCCAATTACCCTCCAGCTACAGTTTCTCTCCTTTTCTGTTGCCTCCTCCCTAAATTCAATTGAGTCAATATAGGTTAAAAAATATTCAGACCTCGAGCCAAAATACAAGTCTCACCTGAACGTTAGGACAGTTAGCGGTCGATATGATTTATGACTGGTATTGCTGCTGAGTTTGCTACCCCAAAAGTCATGATACCACAGGTCACCAAGCGGGGTTTCTGCCCTGAGGTCCTAAAAGGAAACAATAAATTACCAGATTTWAAATATTTTTCCTTTGTTCAAAGCAACTAAAACACAAATAAGTTCTAACTAACAGGAGTTCACATCAACATGGACATAGCAGGAATTTTGTTGTCTCACTACCAACATTTGACCCAAAGTACCCAAGTTTGCAATGAAGGTCACACCTTGAATCCCTGTCATTGTAAAGGCCGTGATCTTGGATTCTGTGACTAGAAATAACTGCATGAAATTTAGAGCTAGGCACATCCACATTGTTTAATAACCTGGTCAATAGCTGAGATATAAAACACATAAACCKCCTTACCTTAMAATTTTCTAAAAAGCCTTTGATTTTAGGTATAGGTTAACTTGTGAAGAAGGCCAGCTACAAATTGCWGCAAAATAGCCATTTTTTCCACCAATGTCAGTAGCATAACTATTAATGMAAGCATGAAATCAAGGAGACTAAAGGTAAGAAAGAACAAATAGCTCTTTTTGAAGCCTTGCTTCACACACAAAATAGTTGAGTTTTTTTTAACTCTTAATACACAAAATCAAGAATCAACATCTCTATTTACTGCTCGAAAAGATTAAGACAGAAAGGTAATGAATTATTTTAATTTGGGGTGCAAGAGGGGCTTATTAAAAAAAAAAAAACTGCAAAGAAAAAGTCTTGCTTGCTTGCTCTTTCCTTTTATTTCAAAGCCATGGTGATAATGAAAGAATCCAAAGAATGGAAATGGAAAGGTTATTAAATGGAAAGCATACACTTTGGAGAGGAAAAATAAGGATCTTGGTAGCATCTGCCACTGTTTTCCATGAGGACAAGCTTGGAAAGTCAAACTAACACAAACCTGCCCCTCTTCTGCCTCCCTGGCGCAATTAAATACCAATTTATRCTACAGTGAGGTACATGCAGGTTAAAGACACTTGAGACAGAACCTAAGAACAAAACTGTATTGGTTAGTATGACATCTGCAATCAGCAAGTTAGTCTAGCCCCACCTTCTGTCCTGAAATTATTTGAGACCAATAAGCCAAGGGAGGTTGACATGACAATGCAAACACAAGTGAGCAGACAAACTGGCTTGCTAACCCCAGGAAAGGTCTTAGAAAGCCCAATGCCCCTGTCTTATTATTCCYACAACTCTATCTACTTACAAGATTCCTACATTGCAATTTCCTACTAATTCCAGTTCCTCTCCAATGCTGCTACCACCTCACTTGCTTCTGTAGTATCTTGAGCACTTCCTGAACTGTCCAGTACCTTCCATTTCATCCTTAGCTAGTATTTTTGGCCTGAAGACACTCCCAAATTACAGCCAAATTGCTGGACCCTGATGATCAGCTGCTAYGCAACTGACTTAAAATAACTCATTTTTCTTGTTTCTCTCTTTAAAAATCTGAGATTTTTTTTCTATCGCTTGATCAAACTTGGCCACTATTAGACAACTAATTAAAAAAAAAATTAGGAAGGGGAAATAGGCTAAAATTCCKAGCACACTGTCAAATGAACTGAAGCATTCTCTAATAGGTTCCTAATCAATACACAGAAAAGAGAGCAGGTCTAAAACTGCAGTCTGAAAAGTCCTAGTCTGCAGCTGTCAATTAARGCACTCTCAGGGAAATTCTTAAGAAATCAAGACTCACAGGGGATCTTATTTGAGCTTAAGAATTATCAAGGTGAAGAATTTCTTCACACTCTCACAGACATTTCTACTGCCAAGTAATAGCGAGAAATTTCTTTCGTCTCCCAGGTCTGCAATTTTAGCCTCAGGCACCTAAATTCCTGTTCCATTCCTCACTGTTATGCACAAACCCTAAAGGTCAAAATTTGACTATCAGAGCAGGAACACACTCAACCAGCAGCTCACTAAATCAATACAGCCAGCTTTTSCAGGGGCAAKCAGGCACAGGGATGTACACCAACAYCTACTGAAGTCTGTGTAGTCTGCAGGGGACAGTTGTCACAGGGTGGTGTGGCCCTCASACTGTTTTTCCAACCAGCAGCACTGYTCCTTATGTACAYAAGGTCTGTGAAAGACATACTTTTATAAATTTTAGTACTGAAAAAGAGAAGTATGTCTTCCACATCACAGATGGTCTTCAATAACTTGAGATGGGAAATGTATTTGAGATGTACTAGGCTTGATTTCCCRTTCCGCTATAATCAGCCCTCTTTTGTCTTCCATCGGAAGAATGCAGGGAAAGCTGAATGCATGGAATTACTTAGTGATTAGATTACACTTCCATATGACCTAAAAATCTTCCATGGCGTATCTTGCTCTTGTATCTGAGTTCTGTGAGAAAGTTTCTTTCATTAATTTTCCTACTTAGTGAACCTACCCTAAAATAGGAACAGTTTGCTCCATGAGACACAGCTGTTTCAAAGCCACATATGATTTCTCTTTAAAAACCAAAACYAGCTATCAAAGAATCTCTAAATATTTGATTAGCAGCAGCTTACAGACAGGAGAGCTCAATATTTGAAGAAAGGTCAGTTTTTCTAAATAAAAGCTTATGGAAATGACATATTGTGTCTGAAGCTCTGCTTAATCCAACTGTTTGTCTTGCCAGCTAGTAAATAAATAATGACAAAAGTCACTGTTGAAATGCTGCTTAAAATGATAAGAAAGCATCTGGAAAACAGCCTTTAACTACAATAAAATCTAATAATGGAATGTTCCATGATACAAGAGGCATGGGGTCAACTAAATRTGTATCTTTTGYTAAAAAAAAAATAAAAGAAATGAAAGATTGGGATGACGGCAGCTAGTAAATTAACAAAAAGGGTACTGTRTGGTACCCAAGAAAATACCAGTGTAGCAAAGCTGAGCAAATCTAAAMAATTACTTCAACTGCTGTCTTTCCTATTAAATAGGAATAAAATATGCTATGTTTTGTTTAATAAACTGTGCCACTGCTAGATAATCTCTCTCCCCATTCAACTGGTAAACTCATTGTCTCTGCATTTTTCTTGTGGATTTTGAATTTCCATATATCAATATGACCCTTGTATTAAAATGACATTGTCACAAAATCCTCATTTAATTTCTAGGGAATAATAGAGGATTTTGATATGAAAAATAGAATCAGCCTCCCAGTTTTTGAACATACAGACTGCATATGAATTAATTTACTTAGAGCAGTTGGTTGAATCTCTCAGCATTGCCAACATCTAGAATCCTGGGGCAAATTGTTGGGTTGCACAGATAAATTGAAACATTTTTAGAAAAAAGACTGAAAGAAATGGAGAGATTACAAGTGTGGAAATCACTCATTAGTAAAACAATCTGCCTGGTTTCAACATCAGTCTTTTGAATGTTTCAACATTCATTCTTCCAGGAAATTAAAATATAAACAGGTACCAAATAAAACTTCACAGAATTAAACATGGCCAGGAGCTGTGCAATCTAAAATACAACATTACTTAAAAAAAAAACTTGAAACAACAATGCTATAGGTCCTTAATTTGTCTACAGTATTCCCTTGAAAGCTTTGGGATTTATTTYCACGTTGACAGATGCATTCTCCCCCAATACATTTGTAACCGAAGGTATGATGACTTACACATGCATAACAGAAATTTGTCTAAGGAAACAGTAACTCTGCATGATTCTAAAAGGCACATTGTGATAAGTTGCCCCTAAATCTTGTGCAAGGAAAAAAAAAGTGAATTGTGTTCAGTTTTAGTCTCCAGATTATCCTCTTTGTAACCCCTTGGCTTCAGRAAAACAGAACCAACAGATGAATGGGATTATTTTTATCCTGTGCTTCTCTTTCTAAAYGTTTAACAAGTACCTTCCAGAACAGCATAAAAGCTGTAACACCAATACCCATCCACAGGCACAGGCTCACTCACTGCTACATGTGATCCTATGAAGTGCCTCAGCAATTGAAGACACTCCACTCCTTAAAGTCAAAAGAATTTCAGCTAGAGATTTGAGTCACATCTTAATTTCTAAGCTTTTCAAGGTCTGTTCATTGCATGTATGGTCAGTGGTTTTAAAGTGGAACACAAGAATACTCTGCCTCTATTTCAAAAACATACTGCTGTCACAGGACTTCAAGTGGGGAAGGATCATAGGGAAAGGGAGTTTTGCTTGCTCCTGTAACATTTTTAGGTGTTAAGTACACATGGAGACCCCCTGCACCCTACAATAGTTTAGTAATGCATTATGCACCTGCAACMAGACTGTTTATTCACTGGTCCTATTAATCTGTGACCCTAAGAAGATAATGAACAAAGTCTCCTATTAATATCCATGGGTATCAGAACAGTTTACTGTACACTCTCACTGACTTAGAAATGAGCATAAAATTAGACCTATTGGCGGTCTTGATGTACAGTACCCTTAAATCAGGCTTACTTTTAAAAAGACCCAATAAAATAAACTGAAAAAATGAATTTTAAAAAGAAAGGTCATTCCCAAAGGAAGCTCTTTACAAGGCTGAAACTTCTGGGCCTATTTAGATCAACTGTTGCATKATTTCTTTTCCTATGACCATTTATGCCAAAGAGCATGAGGAAAAGAAGAGAGACAAACCTTATTATTGATGATGGCTTCAGAATCATCAAAGACAAAATCTCCATCATAGCTGTTGGCAAAACAGAGGAAGGAAATTAACGCCACAACCATTTTAGCCCAGTGTGATGGAAGAAGGAACCATGATACATCATGCTCCAGATTAGGTTCCATTTGTGCCATTCTGTGAGGTGCTTGTTCCAAGCTGGGATCTTCAGCATTATGTTGGTTGAAAATCTGGAAGAAATGCATACAAATGCATGATTACAGCACTTATTCACTAAAAGAGAGTTTAAAAAGGAAAGCTGGGTTGGGAGAGGAGATGAAGTTTCATACAACCTTACATTATTTCTCTCAGTGCCTTTCATAGTTACTGGAACAGATCTAAACACAATTTTATACTGCAAATGGGGAAGTAAAGGCAGAATTTCTCATGGTTGGAACACAGAGATAAATACAAGAAATTCTTAGATGCCAAGGTAAAACTTTAGCACAGGCGAATTCTAAAACCTAGAGAAAATTACTGKTTTTCTGTTTCATATTTGAAGTAATACAAACAGAGGCATCAGGGAGACCATGGAGAATTTTTAAAGTTCTGTAGAGAATGATAAACATTATAATTTCCTTCCACGTGTGAAAAGCAAATATCCTCAGAAGAGCTCAGCTCTCTTCAGTTAATCAAATTAAAGGACCAAATCTTACAGATTCCCCCGTGCAAGGAATTCACACAAACATCASAGACAGACATATGGAGACAGCAGTTAAAGGACTAGGCCCTAAATCTAAACAGTTCAAGCAATGAGACAACAAGGCCCACAGAATTAAGATGGGGCTAGAGTTCACTAGATCACTCTGCACGCCTCAAGTACAGTTGAAATTCCACTGCTGTATTCATGGGCTCATGAGGTTGTTGAGGCAGATGAAAAAGACCCTGCAATCCAAGCACAATGAGTGATACATGAGTGTRGAGGTACTAAGGCTGGAGATTTACATCCACGAACCACCTTTACTTGGATRGGTCCCTTTGGATGCTCCAGAGCCAGCCATCTGTCTGGACTGCTATTCTTCCTTTGCTTCTTGGRTGTTCAGACACTACCATGAGTAGCTTTATTATCAAGTGCTGGKAGAAATGGCAAGGGAAGGAGATCATGAATAGAAGACTGCAGCAAAAGCTAGGCAGAATATGAATTTTTTATTTTGTAAGTCCAAAGAATGATAGGCACATATAGTAGCCTACCTTCAGYTTCTTCTTATTTATTTGCTTATTAAATCAACTGTTGCACTCTGGAAAATATTACATTTAATATCTTCATACAGAAAAGTAGAAAATATCTCCAGTTCACCCCTGAAAACGTTGTATTCAATGTCTTTATACAACCTAGGAAAACAGCTCCAATCATTTGGCTCCTGGAACAGAGCTGACCATTGGAGCAGCTACAACAATTGCACTGTAGCTTTCTCTTTTTGCAAYACTACATTCCGGTCTCCGCATATTCCTGCACACACAAGTGCACAGGGACAGGCAGTACACCCTGCCACACCAGTGCCCCTCCTCGCTTTTSGGGACATATAACCAATTCAGAGAAAGTCAGGAACCTGGAGCTGTACAACCCGACAGACTGAAGCTCCTTGGCYGAGCAAAGGTGCTGCTTTAAGAGCAAAACCGTTTCTCAGAGTAGTTCACCCTTGTGCTCGTAGTTTGACGGAGACAAAGACAGAAAGCGTGGCTAAGAGAAGTGCACAGCATTGCTCCCAACAGCACGGATAGAGCATCAATACGCATCACGCAATTAAAATATTTAATCTACTCCAAATTCATTTCGCCCTGAAAGTTTCTCCCATTACGCTTGCTCTATTTCTCCGGCGCACAGCTGCTGCCAGCCCTCTTCCCCGCGGTCCAGGAGGCCGGGCCGTGGGGGGGTCCCTTCCCAGGGCATCGCGGTGACCGCACGGGCGGTGCGGGCACGCACAGGGGACCGCCACCTCCCTCGGAGCGGCGCACACGCCACTGCCCGGCGGCGGGGGGGAGAGGAGGGAGCCTGCCCACCGCCCTCTGCGGGGAAAGGCGAGCCCCAGCCGACCGGAGAGCCCCCGCCCGCACCGCAGGCACCTCCGCCACGGGGCGGGCACGGTGCGTCCCGCCGGACAGCGCCAGCGCCACGGGGGACTCGCACCCAGGGTGGCACTGGGTGAGCGGAGCCCCGCAAACTTGGGGGCGTCCCGGGCACCCGGCGGGCGGTCCCGGGGAAGGAACCCGCCGGGAAGGCAGCGWGGGCTGCGGGGTAAGTGGTGAGGTTGGGGGGCAGGCGAGCCCCGCCGGGAGTTTGGCGGTGGCCCTGCCCCGCTCGCCGCTCCCCTTTTGTCCTGGCAGCGACGGCTCCGCCGTAGGGGGTGGCCCGTCCCGTCCGGCCCTCAGCCCCCCCGGGCCGGTCCCGCCGGCGAACGCGGCACCGGCGAGACCCCCGTTCTCCYGCGCGGCGTTACCTGCGAGGACGCGGAGCCGGCGCGGCATCTCCCACCCGGGATGGAAACTCTCCCGCCCGGCGAGCCCCGAGCCGGAGCGGCCGGCGGGGGAGGGGCCGCGGCGCTTCGCCTCCGGGAAACATCCCCGCAGCCCATTGGCCGCCGCGCCGCCCCGCCCCCGCCTGGCCCCGCCCCCCAGCGCAGCCCCGCTCTCCCATTGGCTGCGGCTGCGGTGACGCGCGGTGGGCGGGGCCGGGCGGGCGGAGCCGGGCGCTCACTCGGGGAGGCAGCGGGGCCGGTGMGGGTCGCTCCCCCTCATCCCAAACTCCGCACCCCGCGCACAGGCGGGGCCGGCCGGGCGAACTCCCGGAGCGCGGTCCGCTCTGCTCCCCGCAGCGGTCGCTGTCCCGCGCACCTGGCTGGCCGCGAAGGGGAGGCGGGGGGCGGCTGGGGTGAGCCGGGGAGAGCGTGGTTTGCCCGGCACGGGGGACGGGAGCACCACGAGCCCCGAGCTCCCCGCTCCTCTCGCACAGCCGAGGTTCCTGCGGCGGCGGGCGKGCGCCGAGCGAGAATCCCCCCGCAAAGCTGATCCAGAGCCGGTGGGGCGGTGGCGGGGACGGGTGTCGGGGTCTCGGCGCCTGGGGTGGGTAGCGCGGTGAGCTGGGTACTTGGGCAGAGCGTTCCAGCCTTTCTGTAAGCGGCTCTGGGGTTGTTGCAGGATGCTCTCCGCAGGACAGRTACTGTAAGGAGACGACAAAAAGGCTCTATCAGATGTAGGTAATAAGTATGTTTAAACATCACCGCGATTTCCTTATAAGAAAGTGCGATTAAACACTGAACTGGTAGCACCAAATGTTCGGCAGAAGCTTCCCTAAAAACACCCATTAGAATCTTAATATGCTGAAATTGGATGAGAACTCCTGGCCGTGTGCCAGGCAGTGACATACAATTTGGAGTGGGATTTTAAAGATGTTTGCATTATCAAGCGTCAAATTAACAAGGTTATTTCATGTCTCCTTCGAGGCTTTAACTCTCGAGTGGCAAGGCTGCTTTGGGAGGGCTTTGGTGGCTGTCACCCATAACTGTCTGGTGACACCTGCTTTGGAACATCTGCTGTGCAACACGGGCAGCTCAGCTGCGTGTGAGGCGGCAGCTGAGCCAGCAAATTGCCAGGCTCGTATATTATTCAGCTGTATGTGTGAAGCTGCTTTTAAGATGGAAGTCTGTAACTTGTGCCTGTTTAACAGCTACCACAAAGCGTCTGAGGTGCTTCTTGGTTGTGAGGCGGTGGAAAGCCGGCGACCTGCTGTCATCAAGCACGCMAAGCTCTGTGAGCTGATTGCAGGCTTCTGGTGCCTGTGTTACAAGAGCTAAAGTAGATACACAAAGACCTGCAAACCAGTCAGCTGAGCCTTGTACTTTGAAATGGTCTTGTCTGTCCTGGCCTTGTCCCTGGCTTAGTGATCTAAGTGGACGCAATGAGAAAGCTTCTGTGTTTCATAGTCTGCTGTCATTAAACGGTAGAGGTGAAAGATGTCTCWATGACTTTTGGGTAATTGTGCCCTATCAAAGAAAGGTAAAACATGAGATAATCAGCAAAAGCATACTTTCTAGGTTTCTGCTTCTACAATCCAAAGCACTGAGATTTATATTGCTTCCTAAAAATAGCTGGTTTGCCATACTAGTTCRTGATAAGGAAGTGCTGGTTGATGCTTTCTGACATTTCCTGACTGATTCAACTTCCACCCCTCRAACTACCACAAATATGTATTATCAAGTCAAATTCTTGTCAACAAGAATTCTCAAATCCAGCAATCTTCTTGAGATTACAATATTTATAGACTTTTTAATTTGTATTTGCTAATAGAAGGGCCCCAACTTAGAAGAGAGGGTCCCAGTCTAGAAAGAAATTCCTTAGTTGGAAAAGGCAGCATATCATGTATTCAATCTTCTATAACTTCTAATGAAGTAAATGAAATTTCAGTTCGTGCATAAGTTTGCCCATATGTAAGAATTTATTTTAATTTAAACATATGTAAATATATGTAAGGTTCTGTGAATCAAGGTTGAGATTTGCTTCACCAGACTCACTGTGACAATTGCCAGACTTGTACTATTTGACTCACTTTCACATTTTTGTGTTTTGTTCCATAGCTAGTTCGACTTCTRTCACGTTTGATGATGTATTTATTTCTTCTAATGGCCCATTCAAATCACATGCTCATCTTAGAAGCTCCTTCGCTCACATTTCTTAGACATCTGCACATCCTTGATCTGTGCTTTATARCTGGAATTTCATTTGTTCAGTGTGTCTGCTGATAGCATCAGTTCTGGTCAAGTATATATATTTCCGCACAGCCAGATGCACAGATGGTATAAATCACCTCATCACCACTTATGTCAATACAACAATAGTGATTAACATTTCCTTATGAGCTAGTTAATACATGCAGAAGGCTCTGCTTCCYATTATTTTCCATTTTGAAATGACCCTTTTTGTTGGGGCTTTATTATTTTGCTTTTTATARTATTGCAGCTTTTATGATGACCTTCTGTTCTAATTAACATGAAGAACTGCAGAGCAAATACCTGTTCTGGAGAGTTCCCTAGTTCCCTCAAAATCTGATTCAAATCAGCTACAGTTGCATAATTTATCTCCAGTCTGCTTCTTCRGAGGGTTATTATAGCACTTCAATTTGAAACAGTTCCTAAATACAACACTTTTTTTTTTAATCTGCAATTTCTGAGAGGGTTATGTGTATGAAGTGAGTATCTCCTTGCTCTGTAGT